ACGAGAAAAAAAAAAAAAAGGTCATGAGGGGAGAATCTTACAAACCAGGTTTCTGCAAGTTGGAAGACATCTGGTTTTGGACAAATCTGTTTAATAAAACCAATGTATTTCACCCTTACGTACCTGTAGCAATTATTATGGAATTTGTTGTAAGAAGAGAGGGTAATCAGACCTCCCCATGCTGCAGATAAGGAGAAGAAAATCTGAGTGGCAGCATCCTTCCAAACCTAAGTAAGACAAACAGGAGAGGAAACAGCATCAGCTTCAGGAAAGAATGTTGGAGTGCTAGAAAGTTCAATAACACTGTTAAATGTTACTGTGAGGGGATTGACACTTAAGTACTTTAAATGAGCTTTAAACTAAAGGGGTGTCAATAGAATATTTAAAAGCAGAACCCTGCCACGAAATACATCATGCCCATTTGATGAGGAGTGCTGTTCTTGTTGAGCCCGTACAAAAGGACCCTATTAACTTTGCTGTGTATGGAAGACACAACTATCCAAACTACATTGTTTTATACATATCAGTACAAATGCATTCAGAAAAAAAAAATAAATAAAATTAAAAATCGAGAGGAAAAATCTGCATCAGATACTGATGTTTTATCTGCCAGTGACCCTAAATAATACTTCATCCACATAAAGAACAAGTTTCCACAGATGACTATACGACCCCTGCACACATAAAATGCTTGCAGCAGACACCAAGAGATGACTCGTTCACCCCAGCAGTCAGAAGTGCAACAGTGCAAACCCACCATGGCATCAATCAGCTTCTCCCACTTTGGCGTGATGAAGTACCAGATTCCATCTCCAGCTCCAGGGAGAGTTACTCCTCTTATGAGAAGGATGATGAGAACTACGTAGGGGAACGTAGCTGTGAAATACACCACCTGGGCAGGACCAAAGGAAAGGTTGTTGAAAGGGCTTATTTGGATAAGAAGAGAGGAAGGGAAGATATAAGTGCTACACTGTTGCCTGAAGAAAGCAATTACTCAGGCTCAGAGACAACAGTCAGGGGATAAACTAGGAGAACAACAGGGTTATTTCCCAGGAAATCTGAAATTTTATAGCTCTTCTTGCTGCTGGAAACAGGAATAACACCAATAGAAACAAAGGTAAGAGCTGGGGTTCTAGGCAGAGAGGGGAAAAGGGTTCCTCTCTCAGTCTGGAGAGGAGCAATAAGAATTTACAGCTAAAAGAAAATATCGCTTTTGATCCTTGCCCAGAGCAAACTATCAGAGTTCAATGGAAGTTAAATGAGCAGTGACATTCAATAACACTTAAATTTCTGTGGGTTTTTTCCCTATATATTTCCATACATTTTTCTGTGTTTAACTAAAAAAAAAGGCTTAGTAAGTTTTATTACTGTTTGTATCTCTGAATAATTGCATATCACCATGGTGATATTTATGGTTCAAATGCAAAAAAGGAGAATGGGTGAAATGATCCAGATAGAACTAATCACCATGATATCTAAATACACAACAGTGGTTGTGTCTAATGTTTTAATAATGTCTTAATAATTATCTAGTAGAGGGATATGACCACAAAATCTCTGTGGTCAGATAAGATGACTGGATTATGGCCAGTTAAGGTCTACACTTGACACAGAAGCATTTCAAATATTTTTCACATTAACCTCTGAGTTTAAACAAACCAGAGTCATAACATATTGGGCAATCATATCATAAAATGTTTTGAGTTGGAAGCGACCTTAAAGCCCACCTCATTCCAACCCCCTCCCATAGGCAGGGACACTTACTACTGGACCAGGTTGCTCAGAGCCCCATCCAGCCTGGCCTTGGACACTTCCAGGGATGGGGCAGCCACAGCTCCTCTGGGCAACCTGTGCCAGGGCCTCCCCACCCTCACAGTAAAAAGTTTCTTCCTAAAATCTCATCTAAACCCACCCTCTTCCAGTTTGAAGCCCTTATCTTTGTCCTGTCACTCCATGTCCTTCTCCAAAGTCCCTCTCCAGCTCTCATGGAGCCCCTTTAGGAAAGGGTTCTAAGGTCTCTTTCGGAGCCTTCTCTTCTCCAGGCTGAACACCCACAGCTCTCACATCTTCATGGAGAGATTCTCCAGCCCTCTGAGCCATCTTTGTGGCCTCCTCTGGGCTCACTCCAACAGGTCCATGTCCTTCTTAGGCCCCAGAGCTGGACACACCACTGCAGATGCATCCTCACCAGGGCTGAGGGGGAGAATCCCCTCCCTCAGCCTGTGGTCTGAGCTAAAGTGACTTTTGAAACTGTTTCTTTAAACCTCCTCTTGGCTGTTTCAAGAGGTGTTTCAACAAGTTGCCCTTACGAATTTTTGTGCAGTTTAATCTCTGTATAAATACAGGATTTCTACCTCTGGCTCCAAGAGCTCAGATTTTTTTTTCTCTCTGACATCAAAGAATTAATATGTTTTTGGCCACTAAGATACGTCGAAGAGTCAATATTTTTCTTGGCCACTAAGACACACTAGAAGAAATATCTATTGCCATATGCAAACCAAAGTTATTATCCAGTCTCTTATCTTTCATGAAACATTTTTTCCTATCACAGTAAGGTGGTGGGGAAAAAAAAAATCTCAATTTTCCCCTAGCACTCTGAGTCTCTGGATTTTTAATTACCAAGTTACCTCCCAAAAGATGATATCAGCTTCCAGAAGCAAAGAGGTGGCCTGGAATCACAAACTCTGTGGTCAGCTCTGGCAAGTTCATGCCTGCACTTCCACTGTCTTTATCCCATGAAATATCTAGTTATTTTGCTCCAGCTTTTTTTTTTTGAAGTTCAGTTCTGATTTTAAAACATGTTACTTAACATCCAAATTTACATCAAAATTTCCTGAATTCCAGTGAAATGCGAGATGACTGCACTATTTTAATAAACACCACAGAGAATAAGGAAGGCTGGAAGGTCCCCTTTTTGCCATCCCACTGCTGAGTGCAGTTCAAGAGCTCCTT